GGGGGTCGGGGTGTCTGGGCTGAGGGGGACCTCCGCCGCTTCAGCCACGGTCCCCCCCCTCTCGCTGGGGTGACGGTCGCAGCCATGGCCCCCCCACCCCCGCGCGCGGCCCCTCCTGTTCAGCTCCCCGAAGAAGCTGCCGATCCGCAGCCCCTCGCTTGGCTTGGCTTGGCTTGGCTTGGCTTTGCTTGCTGGCTCTCTCGCTCAGGGGCCCGGGTTGGGGCGGCCTTTCCTTTTCCTCCCCAGTAGTTTTCGCGTCTCACCTACTGATGGAGCTTGACGTCAGCAAAAGGGGGTTAAGCCCACTTAGCTGTTACAGCTGTGGGTACAGTTATTTGTACTCCTGTAAGAGAGCTGTTTAGAAGCGGTTATAGAACCACGCATTCGTTTCTGTGCTTATAGCTGACCCATGTTTGCAAACCTGGCCAACAAAACAACAGAGCTTTGCCATGAGTTGAAAGGCCCACAGTTGTGGATTGCACTCTTTCTGTTTTGTTTTCAGCTGCCAATGTTTTGTCTGAAGCAGAGCCTCCTTTGGAAACACAGGGAGGCATGGAAGACCACCAGCTGCTTCCCAGAAAGAAGCGGAAAGTTCCTGGTGAGTGCACTATATGGTTCATTTACAGGCACAAGGGTCTTCAAGCATCCGATGTTGGTGAGGGGTTGTTCAGTGTTGCTTGGAGGATTCCTGATTGCAAAGGCAATGTTTCACACTGGTTTGTCTTTCTCCCAGCACAACAGCAACAAATGGAGGGGAATCCTCAAGCCAAGCCAAGACAGAGTTGCCAGAAGAAGGAGGTGTCAGTGTACCCATCTGGTAAAATGCTTTACGGGAGGGGATTATGGCCTTCGTTCAGGTTGTTTGTGTCATCAGAAACATAGATTTAGTTTGGGTTCTTGGTGGTGTTTCAAAGCCCAGCTGAAATGATCGTATTGAATACCTTGCTGATGTGCTTATTTAGGGATTCTTGGGAAGGGTCAAGATACATAGAAAGAATAAATGCCATGGTTGTTATTCATTCTCATGGTTGTTTTCCTCCAAACGATATTCACAAGCAGGTAGTTGTGATTTTTTTGTCCATCTCTTTCCTAAAGTTAATGTTCATGTTTGTTAGCCGCCTAGAGTGGTCCTCGTTTGACCAGATAGACGGGATATAAATAAAATAAATAAATAAATAAATGTTTTCTGTATTGAAAGATGACAGTCGGCTTTAAAGATGGGCACAAACCAGAGTTGAGCAGGTCAGCCCAGTTTGGAGCCACACCTGCGCAGGTGTTCTGCAGGCACTCGCACTTCTCTCTCTTCTGCACATGCTCCTATTCCCCAGGCAGTGTGTGCTTCCCTGCTTCCTCTGAATGGGTGGCCGATGGAGAAGGCAGAGGAGGGAAGGGTGCACTGCAGTCAGTGAGTGGGCAGTCACACTGAGGAGGTGCAGACACAGCGCTAAACTGTGGTCTGTGGTCATCTCTAGTCCTGTTTCTTATGAGGCTTCCTTTTGGTTCTTACTGGTATCTGTGCGTTTGTTGCGGGAGGTCTATTGGGATCAGTTCCATGGAATGCTAAGATGTTGAATCACCTCTGATAGGAAGCCAGGAAGAGCTGTGGTACCAGGAGATCCTGAAGAAGGGCCACATCACATGTCCTGTCTGCAGAGCTGTAGCGAGGAAAACAGTGGAAGGACTGAAAAAGCATATGGCAGATTGTCAGCAGGTGAGAGTGCTATTTAAGAAACAAAAGCAAAACACCAGTTCCCCTTTCTCTTGAGTCTCTGTGAGGTTTCCAGTCAGCCCAAGCAAAATAACTTCAGGAGCCCTGCTACTTTTATAGCTACGTATAGTGCAGAGAGCCCACTCTGTGTTGTTCAGCTGTGGCCTATCAGGTTCTTCAAGTAAGTCAGGTCACAGCCTCAGAAGTGAGTCTGTGCGTTGACTATTTATTTTTTAAAATTGTGGCATTGATGGTTTAGGATGCTTCTGCTCTGTGTTTGTGCCTTTGTATGTGAGTGGAGCCCCAAGGGAACAGGAGGAGGCCTGATTACCATGAGGAGAAGCGCCCGGGAGGAAGGACTGTTTTGAGAGCCACCTCTCGCTGACAAGTGCTGTGCCTTGTCTTCCTAGGAGATGTTCACCTGTCAGCACTGTGGGAAGCAGCTGCGGTCTCTAGCAGGCATGAAGTACCACCTTATGGCAGACCACAACAGCCTGGTAAGGCAAATACTGTGAACCTACAGAAGGCACAACTTTCTGCCCGAAGAAGACTGCCCCAGCTTCCAGGATGTCCTTACTTCCAATCAGAACTCAAAGCTTGGTCTGGTTCTCTCTGCCCTGTAGAGGACTACCCGGGGTGGGATGGGGGTTGTGGCTGGACTGGCCCCCGTGGGCAAAGGCCCGCCCATTCAGGTCTTCCCCCACGGCTTTCTGCTCCCTGTTCAAATGTTTCTCTTACATGAGCAGCCTGTTGCTGGCTCGCCTGGCAGGTGGGGCTCCTTGAGTCCATGCTTTGTTTTCAGTCCATTCTGAGTAGCCTTTCCATTCTGTTTGTGGGTGCTTTTCGCTTTGGGTTTGCTCTGTGTTCTTTTCTGTTTTAGATGGCGGGGGCAGAGATGAGCCAGATGGACCAGCAGAGTGAGCGAGATTGTTTACGGAGAATATTGAAGCGAATGGGAAAGCTCAGGTGCACCAGGGAGGTGAGAGAGCGGCCCCAGCCCCTGAGCACCCCGGCTGCTCAGCAGCAAGAAGGGCAGCAGGGCCATGCCGCGCTGCATTCATGTCTGGATGAAAAGTGGGCTCACTAAGTACAGCAGCCAGGATGATCTCCCTGCTGGTGGGTGGAAGAGCTTCCTGTCACCCCTGGAGCCAGCCAGGGACCCCTGCCTGCCTGGAGTGGAGTGGCTCTTCTCCCTTTTCATGGCCCGGGACTGAGCAGCCTTTTCTTTTGCCTGTCTCTGCAGGGCTGCACCGGCAGCTTCACCAGCGTCCTTGGGTATCTCTATCACACAGAGAAGTGTGGAAAGGCTGCGGTCGAGCTGGAGAAGCTGGCCCTTCGCTGTCCTCACTGCAGCAAAGCCTACCGGTCCAAGGCAGGCCTTGCCTATCACTTGAAGTCTGAACATGGCCCGGTGAGACAGAAGGGAGAGAGGGAGACGACACCTCAGCCGTGGCGGAGGGGAAATGTCCTCAACCCTATGCCCTCTTTGTCTCCCAGGAGCGCTGCAGGCACTGTTTGTGGGGCAAACACCATTGGCCAGTAGGAAGAGGGGGCGGGGAGCAATGCTTTGGTCTCCCCCCTCCCCAGGCATGCTGAACTTGGTCGCTCTGTCCCTTCAGAGATCCTGCCAACCTCTGGGCAGAGGGGAGGCCGAGGGCAGGCCACGCCCAGCATGAGTGTTTGTTTTGGCTCTTCTTGGCAGGGGCCCTTTTTCCATGATGATGGCCAAGCAGCCCCCCTGACAGAGGCTGCTTCCGAGCCCAATGTTGTGGCCAGCGGCAGCAAGGTCCAAAGGAAGTCTGCCAAGGCGGCTGCCTACTATCTGCAGGAGTTGGCCAGTGAGGAGCTGGTGAAGGACTGGCCCAAGAGGAAGGTCCTGCATGATCTTGTTCCTGACGACCGGAAGGTACGAGGGCCAGGGAGGAAGGAGGACAGGTGGGAGGCAGGATCATTCAGAAAGCGGTGCAGCCAAGATACCTGGCAGACTGTCCAGGTGGAGGCAGGTCGCTCTCTTTGTAATGGTCCCAGTTGCTAGCCCCCCTTTTAAAAACCAAAGTATTGTCTGTCATGAGAAGGAAGTGAAGATGCAGCGGGAGAACCAAGAGGTCTCACTGTGCTTGTTGCTTGTAGAAATTCCAAGGTAGCGGAGAAGCCTCTTCAGACCTTGGTTTGGTTGTTGCCCTTGGAACCAAGGCAGGGCTGAGGAAAAAGAGCACTGCTGGGGAGAACTTTCTTGGCTGAGAAATTCTCACTGGAAATAAACAACCTCACTGCATCCTTTCAGGGTCTTCCACACAAGTTGCTGAGAATTGAAGTGCCACGGGGGGGGGGAGAATGTGGAGTGCGTGGTCACTGGTGTGGCCCCAAGCTCGTCTGCCTAGGCTGCTTCCTCCCTTCCAGAGAGGAGCCTTGGAGCAGCTAGCTGCATTCCATGGTCCATGCAAGGGTCTCCCATGCAGGGGCCTGCTCTCCGGGGGGAGGGGGGGCAAGGTCAGCCATACCGTCTGATCCTCACCCAGTCCTGTTTGGCCTACACAGACATTCAGATGCTGGCTCTTTCTGCCTCCTGCTCAAGTGTGCTACTGGGATGAGTTAGTGGAGAGGTTCCAAGTCTTGAGCAGTGAGAGGCTGGTCTCTTTGTGAAGAAGGGATGGACATTGCCCTGCTTTAGGCGGTTCCTCGTGGGTTGGACTTGGTCTCTGCCTGATCACAGATGAGCAGGAGTGAGGCCTGATGCCCCTGAAAAGGTTTGGCTTTGCTTATGAGCAGAAGTGAACTGTCCACCTCTGGGTCCTGAAGGTAGTGCAAGTGCTGGGGAGCTCCTTTTCAGTTCTGTCCTCCTAGACAGCAGGTGCACACGGTTGGTGCAAGGGCCTTTGACCTGCCTGAGTGTTTTTGTTGCAGATTTCTGTTGTTCAGAGTTGCCAGCATTCGAAGAGTAGCTGCACCCTGGTGGGGGGAGTGGAGAGTAGATGAAGGAAAGGGAAGTTGACCGGGGTTGGGGGAGGGATGGCTGTTTGCAGCAAGAGGAGGCCACTTCGTCAATGAAGGGGGTGGCAGCCGCAAACACTTCCAGTCTTGACTTGCAGTATCACTGTCTCTTCCTCCTCCTGCACCTTCCCCCCCCCACCCCTGTGCCCCCAGCTGAAATACACTCGTCCCGGGTTGCCTTCTGTTAGCCAAGAGGTTCTGTGCAAGTGGAGATCAGAGATCAAGGTGCACAAGCGGGTTCTCTGCCCCAACCAGGTAATGACAGAAGACTTGGAGGACTTGCTGACATTGGAACGGGAAGCTGTCAGGGCGGTTGGGGTGCTTGTTCTCCAGCCAATACAGGATCTTTCCTTCTGGTGTCCACCCTCCCCTCGGAACTGTTGGTCTGCTGACCATGGAGCATCTTTCTCCTGGTTCCATCATTCATGTGCCCACGTATATGTGGTAACACTGAAAGGTTTGTAAAAGCTGCTGTGTGATGATTTCCCCAGGAATCTTGTCTCTGTGTTGGCATCTTGCAGGACAGTTCTGGCGCATCCACTCCCCCTCCTGAAAAGGACCCGTGACGGAGGGAGGAGGGAGTCCCTTTGGCCCCTCCAGTTCCCTCCGGAGGCCTCTGCCCTTCCTCTCTCATCCTGGAGGCCTGGTGGGCTTGCACCCCCTGGCCTCCGCAGTTCACCTCCCTTCTCTTCTGCTTCCTTCAGGGCTGTGATTGTGCGTACAGCAGCATCTCGGGTCTTAAGTC